CTAAATTAATTATATTTATATTATATTTTAATAATTAAATCAAGTATTAGTTAAATTGTATACCAAATCAAAAAATATATCAATTATTTTCTTAAGCATAAACATAAGTTTTTATAGAGATATATTCAATGAAAGTATCTCAATTGATTAAGAATTTACAACTTTACACTAAAGATTTTGAAATTAAATTTTGAGATGAGTGTAAAGAAATTAATTAGAAAAATTATTTTTTTGTTGTATAATTCATTTTATGATATATTTAAAAAAAATTTATATATAGTTAATGAAATAATAATACATATATATATAAGTATCATCAATAAAATAGTAAATACCTCGCAATTGCCATTACACAAGGTAATGAGTCACTCATTCACACTCTATTTAAGTTTTTTAGTTCTCTAATTGGAAGCTTCTATCTCTAGAGTTTACAGACAATTACAGACTTGTTCTTCAAAATGTCTTTTTCGAAAACTGCCAACGTCGAGCTTGATCTCAAGACACAACCTGAAACCTGAAGTCTAATCTGAAAGTCAATCTTGACAATTCTGCTCAAACATTGGGGATGAGGGAAATTCCACAAATATCGCCATGGGCGACTCAAACTTCGGCTTCACCCAAGGTTTGGGTGCACATCGACTGCCAGCCACTAGGGGCTGCAACCTGCAAGTGCCATAGATAGCTCCCTCTGTTTAATTTTAAATAATAATAATTTTTAATTTAGGACACTTAAAATTAATTGTTTATTTTTTAAGTTGTTATTAAATATTTATTCTTATTTTAAGAAAATAATTATAATATATGTTACAATAGTAACATTTATTTAAGTAGTGGTTACTTTAAAATAAATATAAAATTTTATTAATTAATTATTATATTTTTATTTTATTAAAAAAATAAAATCAACTAAAGTTGAATGAAGAAAATATTTCTTGGGTATACCCTTAATTAACAAAGTCCATCTTCAACATAGTGAAATATCTACTATGTATTTATTTGGAATGGTTGTTCAAATACAGTTAGTAACTAATAGTTGATAACTTGCAAGTAGTAGCTAAAAGTCAACATGAATCATTTATCAACCAATTCTTAAACACTATTTTGTATTTATCTCAATATTTTGTTTAAAATATTAAAAAAAAAAACTAAAAAAAATTATCAAGGGGATTGCAAAAAAAAAAAATGTTTAAACTTTCAAGCACAATAAAAGTGCAGTCCACAGGCTATAAATTTATCAAAATATTTTTAATAAAATTTTCTCATCTGTTAATTATTAAAGGTAGTTTAGTAGAACCTGACCTTTCGAGTCAAGTGGCATTAGCCACGCTTGTAAGATTCATGTCCCCTTCCTCCAGAGCAACGGTTCGAGCCGGCCCCATGACAAAATGTTCAAAAAAAAAATGGTAGTTTAGTAATTTTAATGTCAAGATTGTACTTTTTATATTTAGTCCAGACCAAAAAAAAATAGTGTTCATATAGAAAAGGGATAATGATAAATGTGATGAAAATTTTGAACTAATAACTTAGTATAAGTCATATTATTTAAAATATCAAAAAGTGAATAATATATTATTTAATTATTGATTCTTTTTACTTTTTTTTAGAATACGTAATATTATATGTATCAATTGATTTAATGACATTTCTTAATATTAAAAAATGGACCTTATATTTTATATATACATAATTATTAACTCTTTTCACTTCTTTAAAACTCATAATATTATAAATATCAACTCAATTAATATGATTTATGGCATGTGTCTCAAATTTTAGTTTTTTTATGTCACTGCTTTAAACAAAAATATGCCGAAACTCATTAAGGTTTTAAAACTCCATGTCTACTACAAGAAGGCACATTGAAATCCCGAGATATATTGCGGCATTACTGGAAAGGGGCAGACTTCCTCATATTAGCTATATAGTTTCAATTCAAGAGTCTTTTCTAGTGCTTCATGACCTGCTGATTTCCAGTCAATATTGTAAGATTCTTGTAGTTCAAGGATTAAGTTTTACTCCCTCCGTTATAGGGGTGGAGTTTTTTGAAAGAATTATGTGCACACAGTTCATATTTTCGTTTTTTTCTTTAAAAAAAAAGTATTTACAAGACATTACACACACTTTATTATGATACTTGAGATGAGATTTGAACTCAATTGCAACCTTCCAGTGCCTAAACATAAGGCCTGGAAACACAATTAACAATTTAAACATTCCATAGTCCTTTTTTGCTATAGGCATATGTAAAGGAACAGAACTAAATAATTTAAAATCATCAAGCAAACTACCATGTAGAGGGGGATCAAATACAAACAGTAGATATTACATCAACGGAGAGATGCTTGGATGAATAGTGCATCAGCGTCGAGAGATGGCAATAGCAGCTGTGGTGATGGTGAGAACGAGCAGAACGCTGGAACCAAAGGAGCCGATAAGTGATCCAGAGATGCGCTTGCAGAAGGAATTGAATTGCTGGCAAATTGCAAACCAGTTGGTGCTGGTGTTACCCTTGTGTGCTAAGTATACAATAGCTGCAGCTGCAGAAGCTCCTGCTGTAACTAGAGCCAGCATGGCCTTCAAAAGTTTTTTATTCATTTGGAGTTAGATTTCATGGAAAAGAAAAAGATCAATGCTTCAATTAAACAAGCTTGAACACTAGAGAAATTGTTAACAAAAGTCCTAATGCTAGATGTAATTAAGTAAACAAATTGGATTCATTCCTTTCATTTCATGTCATGTAATGACTAGTTTTGGAGACGAATGATAGGGGAATAAAGTGTAGTAAGCTACTCTGCTTTCCACTACACCAACTGATAAACAAGCTAATTAGTAGAGTTTTTCTTCTTCTTCTTCTTCTTCTTTTTCATTTTTTTTCTTACCGCATCAAAGATGATCAAGATGACACGACTGTTGTTTGCTTTACTCCTGATAATATGGTAGATAGATATGGGAAGAGAAAGAACAAGATAGCCACACACAATGGCATTGGCAATCACAAAGAACCTGCATACACAGATCATGCACGCGAAGAATTAATTCCAGTATTTGAGTAATTAATTGCCTTTGTTTATTACATAATGGTGTTTTTTTGTTAGGCAACTCACGTGAAGGAAGGAATATCATCATATCTAGCTCGAAATCGGAAGAACTGCGTGATAAATGGAAGTGTTTCGTCAGTAGTCCCCACGGCCACGGCACTCCCCAGGGTTCCAACAGCAGAAATAATCCTGAAGAACAAGTCCAGTACAGACAGCCCTCTGTTAGCCCCTTTTCTTGGGTATGCTTCCCCTGCAGTCGCCTTCATTTTCTTAATGATAATATTTGTTTTTCTTATGAGAGATACTGCATGAATGAGGGGAGAAAGTGAGTATCCGTTTATATACAAAATTTGAAGGTTGAACACCTAAGCGAACTTTGGATTTTCTCCAAGAATCCAACTAGCTAAAAAAACAATGGAAGTAGGTATTAGGTCTGTCAAGAATGAGATACATGGGACTGCTCAAATTTGCATGATCACTTGATAAAGCTAAAATATGACGGAGATATATTTTTTTATTATTAAAAGGTTGTGTTTGGTTTCCGTATTCTAGGAAATTGAAAACTTAGAAATTGGTTGGATACAATAGAAAACAAATATTGTTATGTAAGGTAGAATCATAATTGAAATCTTGAAGTCAAGAACTAAAGCAATTTTAATTTCTTGGGCTATAAGGGATATACTCTTAAATTTTATAAAAAAAATTAATTTCAAAATACATAAAAGTTAACTTTAAAATATCTTTATTGCCCCAACGAAATTAAAAAAAAATTCCAGGAAATTGTAGCCAGCTACCGCCTTCCCAGTTCTATTGACGGTAGCCAAGAACATTCTGGGGGCAACAATTTCCCCTTAGAATGTGCTAACCAAACATAGACAAAATGTAAAATAAAAGATATCCTATATATTCTTTCTACCTGCTTCCGTACTTGCTCAACATTATTGTGTAACAAAGCAACTAACAAAAAATAGAAGATGAAGGGTCTTGCTTCCAACTGATCCAACAAACGGAGTATATATGCCATGATTAGTAACATAGTCATTTAACTTATTTTGGTCTATTCTCTGTGACAATCCGAAGCCCAATTCCATAAAAGATCCAATTAAAAATAAGGTACCCAATAAGGCAAGCAAATTAGTTATGCTCGCTTTTAGTTGATTAGGTTTGGAAAGTAATTCAATCTGTGGATTTGTGGTTTTGGTTAGGCTTAAAGAAAAAGAGTTATTTAATTAATCCTATGACTTTGAGTTGTACACATCCAATTAGTTTTTTTTTTTTAATATTGGAAAATTGGAGAAAGGGAGATGACATTACAATGAATTAAACTATGGTAGAGTCCATAATTAAGGTGTATCCTATCAATGTAGTCATAATTGCAGGTGCTACACAGCCAATTAGTTTAGTTAAGTACTCCCCAGTGAAAGCACATAATATATATATATATATATGCAAATTAAGGAATCATCATTCACAAAAGAAAAAATCAAATCAAATTGAACTTAGCCCATAGGGTCAAGTGGTATCCGCCACTCTAATAAAAATTCACTTTTCTCTCTTTTTGTTATTAATGGTTCAATTTGATCATATGACAATTGTTTCAAAAAAATAAAAATCAAATCAAATCTTGGTACATGACCCGTATGATCACCATATTGATCTTCCACTCACATAATCGAAGTTTGAACTCCCTTATTCCCATTCCCCCTACTCTTTACTTCCAATTCCCTTTGTACCAAAAAAAAAAGAAAAAAAGAAAAAAAGAAAGAAATCAGATCCTTAATAAATTATATATTAAATTAAGCAAACAATTGAGGAGCCGATCAAATCATTGAGCTACTTTGTTTTCAACCAAGTGAGCTCGTCCATGTCAGATTTCGTACAAAATGGCTGAATCTTTTTTTTTAGAAGAGTAATAATTAAAGATTAATATGTTAAAGGTATTAATGTGTAAAGAGATATTGAACTTTGAGATAAAAAATGCAAACCATAGGCTGTTTCAAAAGAAAGCAAATAATTACTGAGCCACGCACGTGGGATGCAATAGCTGAATCATTTGGAATGAGAACTTACGTGATATGTACGCTTGCCGATCAAAAATTAAAAAACATGATATGTATGGATAATTCTGAGAGGAGTGCTAGGGGCACTCGCCTTCTGCACTCTCCGGCCAACACTTTCACTTTTATTGGGCCACGTTATTCTAGTTCTGAAGAGGTTGCACTTTAAAGCTTTAACGACAACCCTACGTGGCCCAATGAAAGGGGAAGTGTTGGCCGGAGAGTGCAAGAGGCGAGTGCCCCTAACACTCCTCTAATTATGATGATTCTTCTGCCCTTCTTCATTGCCAGTACTGCATCTCATCACAGATTAACATGTGAATATGACGTACAAATCTAAACGAAGGCAACTGCCTATCATCAACCATATATTTTCATCTATTTCATTCCTTCAAATTTGATTTATGGTCATTAAACGACTTAACTCTACGTTAATATTAAAAGTACAAGTTGACTTATAAATTTGTTTATTATCCACCACATATATTCATCTATTTATTGCTTCAAATTTGATCTACAGTCATCGCACAACTTAGCTTTATGTTAATATTAAAAGTATAGATTAATGTATAAATTTATAAAAATATTTTTAATAAAATAATATAAAAATAATTTTATTATAAATATTTTAATAAATTTATTAGTTAAACTATACTCTTAATGTGAATTTCATTAAAAAAAAAGTAAACCAAATAATAAAAAAAAAACAAAAATGTTATAGTTATAATATTATATAATATTATAAACTTACTA